ATATATATATATATATATATATATATATATATATATATATATATATATATATATATATATATAAATAGCAAACTTATTTACCTTTTTTAGTTGATAAATAATAATTTATCCAATAAAATAATAATGTATCTTGCATATTATATCCAACAATAATACGAAGCTTAGCAAACAAACAACCATACATACTGTTTTCTTGTAAATTGAAAAAAAACAATATACCATCCGGTGATGAATTCATTTCATTAAATTAATTATCATCCGGTGATTGAAATTCGAAATTCAAAGAACAAATTTTTGGTGTAGGAAAAATTGCATTTCATCGTAAATTTCACAAGAAGGTAAAGGAAAGTACGGAAACAAAAAATGAATTTACAAAAACAAAAGTTGGATTGGATAAAGTATCATAAAAGGGTGCCGTTTCTGAAAAAATCGATGAATCCGATGAGAGAAAAAAAAATCAATTTTTTTAATGCAAATAAAATAATTAGACTTTATATACCACCTTACCCCGAAAATGATCCAATTTCGGAGTAGAAGGGAGTCTAGGTGAACACAAAACATTTGGTCATTATCACTAGTTGAGAAATTAAATATTTTATTATTATTTATTTATTTTATTTTTTTATTTTTATGAAATAATGACAAATGTCTTAAAATATTACTATTAATTTTATCAAAATGTAACACTTGTCATTATTTCACATGGATATCACGATAAATAAGAAGAAAAAAAAGAAAAATGTAAAAAAATATTTGATTTTTCTTATGAATTATATAACAATAACGTTATGATATTTTTATGAATATTTCTAAAACAATATTAAATAAATATTTATTTGACTATTTATTAAAAATATATATAACATATAATATCTCAAATTGAATATTACTATTTACATTAAAAAACAATTCTTCTCCTTCTAATTTAATTTAATTCAATGTTGAATATTAAATAATATGTTAACCATTTTTGGTGGTTTAATGCTTGATTTTTTTTATACTAAAGAGTTGACTAGTGGTTATATTGCCCATACCACTCTTGTTTCTTCCTCGTATAGGTTGTGATGAGTGGGTAGTGGGCAAGTGAAGAGTTTGGTATCAATGACATGGAGCTCACTCGGCTTGTCCAGGGCACACCATCCCTTAAGCTCGACGACTGAAAAATGTCTGTTTCAGCAATGTGCTACTAAGTCTCTCTCCTCTATAAGGGTTGGACTTCGATGTGGAATGGGGAAGAAGTTGAGGCGGTGCTCGACAATGTCGACTCCACACCTTACAACCTAATCAGTCGCCTCATCGTGGTTCATCGGAGGTCTGAAAACATATTGCTCTGAAACCACATATTTTTTTTTATAAGTGTCTTGAGTGCATAACAACTTCCAATTTCCAATTTAAAACCATCATCCTTTCTTACAAGAGATATTTTATTCATTAGGGAAGGCATAAACTATACATTAATTTAGATAAATATTCATAATTGGTCTTTGTGGTTTCTCATAATATTAGTGTAACACCTAGTTTTAGTGATGTTTTTATTTCGGGACATCGGACCGGAATTTGATCAAGTGAAGGTCTTGGGCTTCAAAGGAATAGAGTTTAGACCCTTTTGGATGTTGATAATGTTGGATTAAGTGATTAAAGCCCTCGATTTGTGCCTTGAAAGGTGATATCTCAGGCTTCTTGCATGAATTACGGATTTTAGTTTGAAATGTTTTTAGTAAAAAGTAACTAGATAGAAATGTGGGGCTTGTCAATACCTTTCCGTGCATATAAAGAAGGCTGAAAACGGAGTTGAAACGAAGAAGTTATGGTTGTTTGAAGTTGAACTGGAAATTGAGAATTTTACTTTACGCTCGGCGTAGGAAAGTCCCTACGTTGGGCGTAAGTGCTGAATTCTGGACGAGAGTTTAATGACCTACGCTGGGCATATGTTATGCTAAGCTGGGTGTAGCCGCTGCAGACCAAAACCCTAAGCCTAAGGTTTTGAGCCGTATTTAAGGGCTCTAACTTCTTGAGATCATTCCCATGACCAACCTCCATCACCTCATATATTTCCTTTGAAACCCTAGACACCATTTGTGAGTTTTAGAGCTTTTAGAGAGTTTTGTGCGCTCTTTGACGGGAGAAGGTTTTTGTAGAACCAAGTGAGAAGCTTCAAGGTGTGTAGATCTGGGATTTACAAGCCAACATCTATATTTGGAAGGTATAAAGTTGTCATCTTGATGCTTGTACATGTTAGATCTATTATGGTTGTGAGTTTTATGCCTTTGTCCCTATAATCTTGGTCCTTGTGAGTATGGGTTACTCCAGACCATTTGAATGCCTCTTTCTGATGTTTTTGAGGTTATAGAGTCATAAAAAATGAAAGCTTGGGCACTCTCATCCATCCATGCATGAGTTCTTGAGCAAAAAGTGACAATATGGACTTAGCATTTAGTTTTGTGCTCTTCTTGTCCATGCAGAGGGATAAAGTCAGAGACTTTATCCATTAAGACATTTATTTAGATCAGATATGGGAGTTTGAGAGTTTGGCTTGCTGTATTAAGAACTTAATAGAACTTTTCGGGAAACAAGGGCTCTACGTTGGGCATAACCCTATGTACACTAAATGTAGCTCTACGATGGGCGTACACTTCTGTACGCTAAGCGTAGCTCTATGCTGGGTGTAGATTAGTGTGCTACAACGAGCGTAAGTCAACTAAGGGTTGATCGTTGACTTTTTAACCGATTTGACTTTTGGTCAAACATGTTGGGACTTAGTATTGGTAGGGAAAAATGGTCTTTTCCCAAAAGAGGTTTAATTGTGAGCCTATACATTTCGTGAGTTAGTTATTACCTTAATTGTTAATTAGGGTTTTATTATGTATATATTTAGCAAGAGGAGACTTGATATCGTCAGCTCGAGTGGGTAGTTTATCTTGTTTTTAGGGTTGAGGTGAGTTTTCTCACTATACTTTGTACTGCAATATGTGTCCTTGTGTATAGAATGTTGGTATACTGTAGTGATCTGTTAGATTTGGTATATCTGTATGATTACTGGTTATTGATTGTTGTTTGCGTATGTCGACATGGTGCGGTTGGGTTGAGGCACCACCGCTTTGTGTTGTAAGCCAACAAACGCAGGAGCAATCCAATCATAAGCTGAGGGTCGGGAGGGCATTCCAGTATTATGTTGTGGGTTTGGGGGCAATCAAGTCATAAGCTGAGGGCTGGGAGGGCATTCCAGTATTATGTTGTGGGCTCGGGGGCAATCCAATCTTCGTGCTATGGACCCGGGGGCAATCCAGTCTTCGTGATTGTGGGCCCGTGGGCAATCCAATCTTTGTGGTTGTGGGCCCAGTGTGCATGCATTGTATTTGTATTATTTTGTGGGATATTTTGGGGGAACTCACTAAGCTTTGGCTTATAGTTTTTGATTTCAATGTTTTCAGGTACATCAGATGATCGGG